GTAAACCGGCCTCGGTACCGCAGGACCTGCGACGGTGTCCCGTACACATGTAGGCGGTACCGTAGGTCGTGGGGCGCTATGACAACGCTGGGTTAGGCAGTGAGGTGCACAATAATACCACAATACTGCGGCACCCCCAATAGTGAGCAGCATATATAGCGCGAACTGTTGCCACTGGACCGCCGAAAATCCCGCCAGGCCGTTGTTTGGCTGGGATGCCTCTGCTGCGGCCAGAATGCGCTTACTGTTCGCAATAGAGGCTCTCAACTGTTCGAACGGAATCATCTTTCTCATATAGTTTTGCTGGCACAATGGACGCAGGTATTAGATCTGTGGCGTTGCCACGTTTTGACGCCAAGGTGTAGAGGTCCTCCCAAATGGCAGGGATTGGCAGCGGTAGTGTTATATAGGTGATATAGTTTCGGTTCGTTTAATGCTGCGGTGAAGCTTGAAGGCAACGTCAGACTTGTCTCTGTGTCTCGTGCGATGTGAGTCGTTGACGATGGAGATCACAGAAAAAACAACACGTCTTTATGGTAACAGATGAGATGATATTTTATTCTACTCAGAGGCTACTGATGCAGACTTTGTAGTACTGCATGAGAAACTGTAAACTTCGTAAGAACTTTGTAAAACTTGTAAACTTCGTAGGAACCTCGTAAGAGCTGGAAAAACTTGTCTCTCCGACGCTCTGCATGCTATTTTATACTCCCCCCCCCAAAAATCAATCAGCCCCTCCCCATGCCTGACCATTGGTCAGACACTTGATTTCTTCTGTTCGTTGATTCGTTAACTAAATTATTTCTACATGGTACACTATGACGTAGTTATGGTGTACTGGACTCTGCTGCCATGATGGCGACTAGTGGGACTCTACTGCACTAAAATATATCTATGTCTTTGGTGTAATGATCTCGCAAAGCCCCATATATAGAATGGGACTACGTGAGGAGCTTCTAAACTCGATCGTCACGAACGTATCACATGTGGTCAACACGCACGCTTGCCGCGTATTCCTGGCCTGCGCGCGACCAACCCGTGCTAACCTTACGTAATGACATGCCGCTAATACGCTCCGCGCGGTCAACGTTCGCTGCTGCTGATTGCTAATTTCAGTTCTACTTGCTCGCTACTGCTGTAATATTATTTAATTCTGCGCTCGCGCGTAGCGCAAATATCTATACATATGTTACCACAAACACCACGTATCTTTTCAAACTAACTCTACTCTCTTCCTTCTAATAATTATAAACTACATTAACACTGTTACAATATAAGTGAAACAATTACTGTCTTGTTGAGCATAATAAAGTGCAACAGAATTGAGACCTGTACAGCGATATACAGCGTATAAAATGCGAACGCTTCACGTTTGTTTGTATCAAGTTTGTATCCAGTGGCAGTTGGTTTCTCTGTTTGAAATAGATATAAACACTAGAACGCTGATCAAGCGATACTAGCGCCTCTACCGAGTCATGGCAAAATAGTGCGGGAGATTTCTGTTTTCTTATATTGACTAAGCACGGCGAACATCTTCTCATTTGAATCACTCTCATACATTTAATAGCACAGCATATTTAATTTATTTATACAATATTTAATTAATTAGCCTAACTAGTATGTTATTTCTATACTATTTACTGAGCAGTTGCCCCGTGTGGCTGAACTACGCTGACGTCACGCTCAGGATTATGCAGGAGCACATGCACATGCCCTTGGCCGTGTCCTTCCTGCCCTGTCTTGCTAATTTATAGCCAGGCAAGGAGATCTCAGCGTCAGATATATCGCTATGAGTCCACGACTCTGTGACCCCAAAAATGTCTGGGTCATGTGCAAGCACTTCAGCTTTAATTAAATCAAGTTTATTCATAACACTCTGTACATTTGCAAAACAGCACTTTAGATGATTAATACGAACTGATGAACTTGTAGAACATAAGTTAGTGTGAACAATTTTAGTAGCAACATTCTCGCTGGCTATACCATGACCTCTTCTTCCACCTGCCCGTTCTTGTTTACTCGAACTAGTTTGTCTTGACGTATCCGAAAAACCTTGTCCCCGTCCACGTTCAAGTCTCTCATTTTTTGGCGCAAAAATTTCGCTCTTGTTGGGATTTGGTCATGTCTGCGTCAATATACACTTTGTCGTACGAATTAACAGTGCTGCTTGCAACCCTTTTTTCATACGATTTTAGTCGTTTAGCACTCTGTAATATCCTTTGCCAGTCATCTAGGTCCTTAAGTACCAACTTCAGATATCTGATTCGGTCAGGTTTCTGCTCTCCTAGTCTCAGCAAATCTTTTATCTCCACGTTCAGCTTTAAGGCGTCCCGGATCAATTCGTTGACAATACTCTCGTCACTGGAGTCAGACTTCTTGGGTAGTCCGCTAATTATAACATTGCAACGTCTTCGTTCTGAATCTAGAGCTTCTTTGACCTCGCTTTGAACTGCCTGCTTCACTTCCGTGCTGAGGTTTACCATAGCTGTTTCGACTTTTTCTATTCTCATCTTAAAACTCGTTTTGTTTCTGCTTCATGTTGTTAATAAGGTTCAAAGTGTACAAACAACTGCAATGCCATTGCATTTTTCACAAAACCAGTGAAAACTGTCACAAGGATATTCGATTAAGAAGTCGTACATCGGTTCAGCCAATGCAGCTGAACATGTGGGCACACAGTACCAAACACGACAGAATTCACACCTCAAGGATTTTACGGTACTAGTGATAAGTTTGTCACACTTTCCACAAATACTATTCTTAGATATATCACTGTCGTTTGACCCCTTTAATTCCTTGTTTGTGTGTTATTATATCGATTTATTTCACTGCGCGCTACAATGCACTGGACCAATGACGAATGCTAACCGTTCCAGGAACACAAACAGAAACTAGAACAGAAACGACACGCATTCGCTTTATATGCAGAAGACTCGAATTATATGTTTACGCGTAAAGTTCTCTCGCACACGAGACCCAAACTACCTTATAGTATGCATACATCGCACACACCATATTGCAGCGGTCACGCGCATTGTATTGTAACTATTGTCTCGGATTGTTCTAGCTATCGCGGCTCATGTACACGTATACGTAGTCACGTACACATACGCTGTAGCTACACAAATACATGCACGCATACCGTACGTAAACACGCACAAGATGTACACGTAAGAAAATGAAACTTTTTCTCATATAGTCACTTGGAAAGTTTAATGGCCCCGTCGGGCCACCAAAATTTAGCATTTCTGGAATTCTGCTGGCCCGACGTTCAGTTTTACTGGCCCCGGGCCATTTGGCCAGCGCTAGTGTCGAGCCCTGACTAGGTTGAAAAATTCGAAACATTGCAATATACAATAGGTACTACAAACTCTACCTATATATTACATTTTGAGATATTCAAAATAGAGAATTAGGCATAATGAATCATTTGAATGGCTAAAAATTTACTGACCTTGGTCGTCACATCAATCTTGAAGTTGAGCACCAAAACGAGGCAGGCTACTAACTGTGCATGCGCTGCATGTTTGCGCATGTGCAAACGATGTTACTCACTAGATGGCGTATTTATACAAAAGAAAGACAGATGGATACATAATCGTCCTAGACAAACGTATGACTAAGACACTCAAATTTCCCTGTGGGGTTAATTTTTCAAGTTGGTCTGGAAAACCTCGCAATGGTCTCCTGTACTCACAAAACGCTAATGTAAAACCCCACTATGTACCAAGTGTACTTCGTCAATTGCTGGTGTCAGAACAAAAAGACAAAAATAACAGGGAGAATTGCCACATGGACTAGCGCTGCATGACCGAGGTGGTCTATTAATACATCAGCGAGTTATGCTACCTTGGCTGAGAAGCATTGACAGGACAGTCCGCTTACATGCATATGAACGAGGGCTGTCATCGTATGGAAAAACCCTTATAAAAGTAAGTAAAGACAAAACATGAAACCATACAAGTGTAGTATATGTGTTATACATGTACGAAATTGCATTGTTATAATAGATGTGTCTTGTGGCATTCAACAAAGTCAACTAAATTAAATGTAGGTTATGTGTGTAAATGACAGGCTTCAATGTTTTCAAAGGGAAATTTCTGACTTACACTGGTTTCTTCTAAAAAGCAGCTGGCAGTTTGTTGGAAAACAAAGAACACAATTGCTGTGACACTACTTGCCCTTGTACAGCCTGGTAAATAGAAATGAATAACAGGCATGTTGTTATAGGCATGTATTTAAGATGCATTATTCAAGTGTGTGCAGACTTATTTTATAGCAGATACATATTTCTCCATGTTTCTGCAGATGCTTGTGTTAGAAATATTAATGTTAAGAGTAAAATTGTTATGTTTATCATTTTTGTTGTTGAACTCTAAACCTATTCTCCAGAAATAAACTAATCTTGTGTTGACTAGTGCCACACAAGGTACACCCATGGAAGAGAGAATGGCATAGTCTATAGAAGATGCATACAGCATATTTATCTTTTGATTCATTTCCTGCGCTATCATTTCAACCTGTAAAAATTAATTAATTAATTTACATGTATCAGTTTTGTAAATAATATAGCATATGAATAATTACTATGCTATGTGGAAATGTAATACAATAAATGCTTTTCTGCATAAGCCCAGCCACGCAGCGTGCTACTCAATGGTTATGATTACAGTTAGGCCACCATTTTTTATTTTGTTGGTTTACAGATTTTGTTTTGTTTTTGTTGACTCGGTAGGGTAAAAGAAAAAAAAAATGTCGTTTTGTCAGATCAAACAAGTCAAAATACAGTGATATTGTTTAATACATGATATTAAAGTATTTTAAGAAAACTAAGTGTATTGTATAGGGCCTACTGACTACTGTCTAAGTTAGTCTCAGTCTTACATTTAAACTTAGTGAATACATAAATCTTTGATTGCATACGTGTATTTTAAGCAGTAATACTGTAAAATGGGCTGCTACTTGGTAGTCTACTAGGCTATTTTCAGGTCTATAGGCTACAAACCCAGACTCTGAGGCATCTCCAAAGACGTGGATCTGGACATCCTCTGCCTGCGAGCTGAACCCTGGGTGGTGTCTTGGTATCTTGACAGTGTCATACAGTTCCCTAAGCTCTCGGAGCCATTCCCTCCATTTGTGCTGCAAGTTATCCGGAAGGGGCTGGTCCCAGTCTAACCCGGCTCTCCATAGATCCTGTACCAAACACTTAGCACGGAATATGAAAGGGGTGATATAGCCGCACGGATCGAACACGGAGCACATTATGCTAACTAGGCCTCTTTTCGTCATATTGGTCTCTTTGGGGTCAGCATGGAAGACAAAGATGTCCTGGAGGAGGTCCCAACTCATCCCCAAGGTTCTCTGGTTGGGAACCTCATCATTATCAAAGTCTACCTCGCGAACAGCTAGCTCTGAACTATCGATGGCAGCCAGAACTTCTCGGGCGTTGGATAGCCATTTATGTAGTCTGAAACCACCCATAGCCGTCAGCGCCACCAATTCCTTGGCCAGCTCAATTCCCTTTGGAACACCCTCGACTGATTTCAGCAGGTCATCCATGTAGACATCTTGCAGAATGGCTTGTACGGCTTGTTCACTGAAGTTGGCTGCATTGTCTCTAGCAGTTTGCTGTAGCGCGAAATTACAACAGGCTGGCGAGCTGGTCGCTCCGAAGATGCTTCGTATAAGCCGTTCATAGAAACTCCTTGCCATGGAACCTTTTCTGTAATGAACTTCCACTCTGTTCCATTATGCCGCAAGCAATCCTGGATCTTGTGCTTGTCCTTCTTGGCTTTGTACAATAACTCCAGCACATTAGCTGCCCTCTTGAATGACTTCACATTATCTGTGTACAGGACACCACATTTTCCTCACCTGTTTGTCATGCTTTCAAACGCCTGTAAGAACTCCCCAGCTGACATGTTCTCAACTGCTGACCATGCTCAAGATGTACATCCCT